CTTACTACAGTGTGTACAAGTCTTAGGTGCTGTTTACACCAAGGTAGAGTGACCCTGTTGTTAGGGACAAGTCTTTCCCCTTACTACAGTGTGTACAAGTCTTAGGTGCTGTTTACACCAAGGTAGGGTGACCCTGTTGCTAGGGACAAATCTTTCCCCTTACTACAGTGTGTACAAGTCTTAGGTGCTGTTTACACCAAGGTAGGTGACCCTGTTGCTAGGGACAAATCTTTCCCCTTTCTACAGTGTGTACAAATCTTAGGTGCTGTTTACACCAAGGTAGGGTGACCCTGATGCTAGGGACAAGTCTTTCCCCTTACTACAGTGTGTACAAGTCTTAGGTGCTGTTTACACCAAGGTAGAGTGACCCTGATGCTAGGGACAAGTCTTTCCCCTTATCTCTTGCAGTAGCCTACTACATGCGAAAAGGGGCTTCAGTATTGTCCAGTATGGTTGGCCTTTCTGCACACTGGAAATACGTCATCATGTTTAACGACATAACATCTGGGACCCTGAAGAGAATAGATGGACCCAGTTTGTTCAATAATAGTTTCTCTAATATCTAAGTGTCTTGATGCTGAGTGTGTACGATAAACAGGATGCATCCTGGTCTAACTTGGGTATGAACATGAATAAAACACTTATCTGAGATGTTTGTACCCAAACTAGACCACAATGCACCCTGTTTCTTTTCCCAGGTCTCGCTATCATCAACACCATATAAGACATGATGAACAACAGATAGTTGTACCCAAGCTACACCACATTGTACCATGTTCACTATCTCAGTAAGGGATCTATGTTCTTTCTATGTTCTTTCTATTTAACGACCATACGTCATATGATGTATTCCTAATATGGTGATGCCAGTCACCATTTTTCACAGATATCCCTACCCCACCTTATTCCTTATATGGAAAAGTGTGAGTGATGTTGGACCAATCAGGTTCCATATCGTTATATGGTAATGAATAAAATGTGTTGGCCAATCAGGTTGCATGTCCTTATATGGTGAAGGCCTACACGTGGTGATTAAAAGAGTTGGTCTCAACGCTGTACTGTCGCTTCCAGTCCACTCGTTTGGGTCTTATTAGACCAAAGAAACTAAAGCCAAAAAAATCAGCAATGTTTCCAACGATAGTCCGGCTGAAAGGAAAAATATATATATACTAAGTAGGTCAGATGATATATTGTGATTCACAACAAATAGACCTTTTTAGCTTCAGTGTAATGTTTTCCCATTGTGTAGTGAATAAAGGTTTCTCCCCTCTCTTTTTCTGATTTCCTCCAGGGTGGGGTAGGGATATTTATATACAAGTA